TGAAATCAACATGTTACATGCACCTCCCCCAGCCAAAAGTTTTCTCTTTAAGGGTACAGGAAAGTATTAGCACATTGCAGGGTTGTGCCTTAACAAAGCACACGTCCCAACAGGGTGTTTGCTAAAGCCTGGATGGCAACCTGTTAAGAGGTAGCCTTTCTACCCACCTCCTGCTCACGAACTAATACAGGACTTCCTTCGCTGAGGGCAGTGCCGTTATGTGTTTTTATTGATAAATTCTACCGTTGAAAAATGTGGAAAAACAGAGCTGTGTACAAAGGAGTTTTGCTTTAGCAAGGTTAAGCGCTGACATCATCTGAGATTTTTGTAAAGAACAAGTGCTTATTTTCATCTTTGAAAAGTGTCTTTTGCAACTTGTATGGACATGTGGTTACTATGAATTCTCTGGAAAAACCTCACTGTCTAATGTCCTCTTGTTCCTGTAAATTTTTCTTCAAAAAATAAAACACCCAATTTAGCTCACTCTAAGCAGCAATTTTTGGCTCTGGGACTTAATATGGCTGATCTATTCAGAGCCCTCACTCTGCTCTTGAGGTTGTAAAGTAAGTTTCAAAACATGCATGCCACCAGAAGATGGTTAGTGGGTGTGTGCCATTCAAACCCCCTTCCACTGATTGGGGAACATTAAGTTTTTAAATTTTTTAATTGTACTTGGAGTTAACTGTTGCTGTGTACTAAACCCTCTTGTTACAAGTCCTGAATAAAAAAACAAAGCACACATCAAAGTGTCCTGTGAATATCCTGCTTTTGTAACAGTCCATGGGTTAATCACAACTGCTGTCCAGCTAATAATTGGCATGGCTAGACAAGCATCTGTCACACAGCTAGCAGCAGGCTGTCAGGTGGACATACTGTGAGAGAGCAGAGCTGTCCCCACTGCATCATTAACTAAGACAGATGCATACAGCATGTCATCCACTGTGGGTTAATGATTTCTAACCTTTGACTAATGCTGGTGATTGTATTTTCCAGCTTTGCATTTCAGTGCTTCACAGAGGTGGGTAAAATCAAATCAGTTCTCCTGCTCTGTAGGGTGGTATCAGAGCCACTGCCCACCAAATCTCTTTTGCACAGGGGCAGTATCAGCCTTTGGACTTCGAGAAATAGTTGGTGATCCAAATTCTTCCCCCAGCTCTTGGTCTGGATTAAGACACTGTTGCTAGGCACCAGTCCCCAGTGGCCCTAGCTCATGTCTAACCATCATCTGAGAACAGAACAGATGTGGAACACAAACAGCTGTGCTAGCAACAGGAAGTCTGTTATGTTCCTCCAACTAAAAGGAGGGGATGAGTGCTACAGCTATTGCTTAGGAAAGCGGGCACAAACCCATCCATGTCTAGCGTTTACGACTGGGGGCACAGACTAACCTAGGTCAAGCAACTGCAATAGCCTTACTGCCTCTGTTCTTTGGAGCAGCATGTAAAAGGAATAGAAGGGGATGGTGGCGTGAGGTTCTCTAGCTGAAGCAGCAGGGGTTGGCCAGATCTGGGATGTAAAAACCTCTCTCTTAGTGGCCTTAGAGGAACAGCAACTCCACTCTACGTTGAATGCAGGGGGCAGAGAATCTTTCTTAACCACCAGCCTTGCAGTGCCACCCAGGGCAGCCCCAACCCAAACGATACCTACTTCGCATGAAGAATACTCGTCTTTCAAACAGGACTACATCACCGTGCACTAGGCCTTCTTGCTCAAGGCAGACAGCGCATAACAATGTGGTGCTCTGTGCAGTTCACCCCACAGTGCAGTGTAGACACTCCATTCATTCGGTTCTGGTAGCAGGCTGCCTAACATAATGCCCACCAGAGCATAAGGCCCGGAGCCTGCTTCAACACAATATGCTAACTGCCTATTCATTAGCATTTTGTCCTCATATTTACATCATTTTAGTTTATAGAAGTGTGTAAATACACTATACTGTACATAGAAAACCTATTCGAATACATACAAAACAAGCTGAACTTTAAATCAATGCAGGTGACTTTAAAAATCTTATTAAATACTTCAGATCTGTTTAGCCCACACCAGGTTGCGTTTGTGGCTTTCCTATGTAATCAATGTATTTCTAGTAAGGAATGATGAGGTTACATAACATTTCTAGGAAGCTGACAAGAATGAACCTGTGTTTTAGGTCTTAGTTAGTTTCAGAACAGACCAGAGGATTTAGTTTATACTTCCAGAACCTGCTAGTCCCATGAAAGCCTTCACTCCAGCAAGGCACATTATAATCTCATGAAAAAATAAAATGGCAAGACAGGGAAAATAAAACAGAAAGCATTAAATTTAACTACATCTTTATTGAATTGTGCATATTCT